AGTGTGTGTGTATGGACATAAGCGTGTCCCTTTACTACTGACATATGTATGTATGTGTGTGCATGTGTATGCATGCATATCCATCCATCAATAAGACTTACACAGTGATATGATGCCCAACCTTTTGACCCCATTGGCTGGATAACTGCCTCCCCCCCCCCCCCAGCCACATTTCTAGGCCTGTGGGGGAACCCCTTGGGCCAGACGAGGTCTCAGTGGGTCAGATCTAATACGGATAGACCCTGGCACACCCTTAGGGAATCACTGCTTTAGCTTTCCGGAAGCTCTCCTTTTTAAAAATGTCAAATCCTATTAGCTCTGCAGGGAGAGCATCCTGCTATTTACTGGGAAGCCTGGACCCCGATGCCTGAGCTATTGCATGTCCGCCTATTCCCCTTTGAGGGTGGCCGGCTGATGGGCAGGAGGAACTTTAGAAAGGCTGAAGTTGGGCTGAGCCTGACCCACTCTCTCTGCTGCCCAGGCCTTGCATGGACACACTCACCCATACCCATGAAAGTTGTGCTGTGAGGGCACAGGACCGGCCTGGGTTTGTAGGAGGGCTTTACAGGACGAGCCATTCATCGGTGCTGCATGGAGATCGGTTTCACAGGCTTGGTGGTCTTAAAACTAGTGGCAGGAGAATGGAGCAGCTGGTGCATGGTGGGCCTGATAGTTACCCCCTTTCTGCTCCATGTCTTGGGAGGTTTGAAGCCTCCCCCAGAGGCGCTGGCACTGCTGCAGCCCGGGCTGGGCCAATGCTCCTGCTGGGACCAACCCTGCAGGGGCCTGGCTGGAGGGGCTTGCCCCTGTGCTCAGGCTCAGCCCGATGCTGCACTGGGGCAGGCAAGGATTTCTCCCTGGTCACACTGGTCTGGACTGGGGTGGGGGGAGGGGGTTGCCTTCCTCTGCAGCGGGGGCACGGCCTCTGCCTGGGGTCTCTTGAGTGTCTATGAACGCCCTTTGCAGCAACTTGACTGTGACCACCGCAGTCCCCCTGCTTTCCCTGAGGCAGGGCCAGGTGTGATGCCTGGGGCTGTGTCAGGGTGGCTGAAGTTTTGCTCTGAGGTTGCACACTGGTTGTGTCTGGGCTGGTTTGCACTGGGCTGATCCTGCCTCAGACCGGGCTTGGACTAGCTGTGACCTCTGGGCCTCCCTTCCAGCCGCGCTGCTCTAGGATTTCTATGACACATAGCCCAGTGACCCTGCGAGCTGTGGCAGGGGGTGACACCAGGGGCTGCCACGTGCTGGCTTGCCACGAGCCAGGAGAATGACACCACCGAGGCTGACCCAGAGGCACCACGTCAACAAACTGCTCTGGCAGGTGCCTGCTGCTCCCAGAGCATCTCAGACAGGATACAGCAGCCACACACACGCAAGCACACAGATGCGTGTGCATGCACGCACATGTGCACACACAGCAGGGGACATAGAAACACCCACACCTGGGAGCATGCACCAGCCACACCTAGCAGCATGCTCTGCAAGCCAGCCCTCTGCAAACTTCCCCCTAGGACCCAGACCCATCTCCCCCAGACAAAGGAGCTCCTCGTCCCCCTTCCCTTGCACGTCTGCTGCATGCTTGGTGAGCTCCGCAGGGCCTTAGCCGCCGGGCATGGGGCTGGGCAGGGTCCCTCGCTGCAGCGTGCCGCATGCTACGCAGAATAATTTTATGAGCCAGAGATTGCAGGTCTGATGAAGGCAAACCCTGCGCGGCTCCCGCCCCTGCTCGGGGGCTGCGGAACGAGCAGCCATTAAATGCAATTAGTCTGTATTTACACATCTGCCAAAGGGCCCAACAGCAGGGGTGCGTTCCTCTGCCAGCCAAGCTGGACTAGTCCGCCGGCTAATCCGGGTCCTGCTGAAACTGCCTGCAGCCACTGCCAACCTCGTGCTGAGCCTTCAAGTCCGTGTGTCCATCCCTCCCGCTCCTCAGAGAGGAGAGGGCACTAGGTGCCTCTGTGCAGACCTAAGATTGAGCTCCCCAGATAACGTGCAAGTGTCGGTGTGTGCAAGCCCGTTGCGCCCGGGCACGAGTGCTCTCATCTCCCCAGGATCTTAGCAGGGATGCAAAGGAGGATCTCAATGGGCACCGTGCATTGGCAGAGCAGAGAGGGATCTGGGAACCCTCAAGGACACCCCGTACCCGCAACCTCCCCATACTGCAGAGGCACGGGAAGCCTGGTGATGCTCTCCTTTTTGCTGCCCGTGCATGCAGGGCCAGGCCCATTCCCCCCTTGCACAGTGCCAGCTTCTCAGCTGGACCCTCCACGTGCTTCCAGACCACCCCACAGATCCCAAACCGGGTGCCAGCACCCTGCAGGACCGGGCTGCTATAGGAGCTGACTGCAAGCTGCTGACCACGCCAGGCGACCGTGCTCCCCCCCGGCCAAGTCAGCATCCCACCGACACCTCAGATGCTTGGCAGCGCTGCAAGGGCTGAGAAAGAGAGACCCAGGGCATCACTTTCAAAGGGAATTGCTCCCTTGCCGGCTCAGGATGATATCCTAGAGAGCCGCCCCGAGCACTCAGGCCATGGCGATAGTATCAGCAAGTATCATTCAGCAGCTCCAAGGAGAGCAACCCGCAGCATTAAGCATTAGCATGTGTGTTTGGAGCCCTTAATAAACTCTGCCCCTCGTTCCCGTCAGCCCCGCCGTTAATCCAATTCAGCCGCGCCGGTAACAAAGCTGCGGCGCGTTTGTCAGATCGCCGACTAGGCCCGTGGCTGATTTTACACTGCTAATTTATCTTAGCATATTAGCTCATTTCGCATGCCCCCCTCCCTCCCATTACCGCAGTGGTACCTCCTAGCCAGTGTGCAATGGTAATTGCTATCATTAGCGATGCCCACAGCTCGAGCCGCTCTGCCAATAAAAGGAGTTGGGAGCAATCCTGCCATCGGCCCTGAGTACGGAGAGGGGTGTGGGTCAGGGGAAGCGGGGTGCGGGGAGGAAAGAAGGGGGGAAAGTAACACAGGAAACTAGCCAGGAAGGCAGCTGCAGGGTTAGACCCACTTCTGGACACAGCAGGGTAAACTGAGTCCTTTACCCGGGACACTGGCCCAGGTAGATGCCGAGCGGCCGTGCTCGTATGCATCTGGAGCGACTCTCCTGGAAACACGCGGGCACGGCCAGGGCAGCAAAAAGGGCTTTTCCATTGGGACTGCCCAAATCACTCCGCTGGCAGGATGGAGCCATGCTAGTGTCAGGCTGGGATCTACGTCCTTAGATATTGGGGGAAAAACAATTTTTGCCAGTAGCCAGGATGGGCAATGCCTGCTGCTTCCACCCTGCCCTGCAGCTTTGGTTTCTACACAGGATCCTTCCAGCATCTATTTGCAACCTGGACCTCCTGGAGGGTCTCAGCCTGAGCCTTTGAACCTCAGGTAGAAAGTTCCCAGTGGTCTCAGGCTTTGCCTCCACCACAGCGAAGCAAAAACAGTCTTGGTCGCCGGTGCATATAAGGGGCACGAGAACGCCCCTGGGTCCGCGGGAATCTCCTGGCAGAGCGGGGAAAGTTGGGAGCAGGGAGAAGCCCCTGGAAAGGGGAAAGCAAAGCCTCGATCAAGCCTCTTGAAACCCAAGTTGCGTTCAAGAGGGGGAGTGTTTAATGAAGATGGCTGTTTCTTCAAGATCGGGGAAATTATGCACAAGCAATTCTAGCAAACAATTCCCCGCGTTATGCAAACAATGACAATCCCCGCTCGATTGTTCTTCTCTGGCATTGAGAGAAATGCATTTTAAATGAAGCCACCCCGAACACGCACCTTCCTACAACCGGAACCCGCCACATAGAAAAGTTCAGCCGCGGCGTAGACTGTTTCTTCCAAGGGTTTGCAACAGCCTACTGACTACGTTCTCCGCAGACTTGTTAGAGGTGTCCCGGTATCTCATCAGGGACAACGTCGTGCGATTGCACTGCTGTCTTGTCTGCAATGGTGCAGGAGTAGTAGGCGACTGCATCATGGAGCGTGCAGCGGTACGCTGGGAAGGTGGTTGCTCCACTTGAGGAGAGGACCTGTCAGCCTCTCTTCCATCACCTCCTGCCTTGTTCAATGATGCATAATATTTGCTTACACACTGGGAACCTGCCCAAGCTCTGGGACAAGCGGGCGTGCTATTGAAGGCACCAGAGGACCTTGAGCAGACATGCCAGCGGCTTCCCCCCACTGCGATGCAATGCTGCCAGCACAACTTTCTCTGGGCATCTCCTAGAGCAGGGCTGACCACCCTGACCCTGCTTAGCTTCAGAGGTAAAAGCCACCCACCCGGGACCTGACCTGCAGAAGATGCTGCAGAGACCTCCCCACCTCTCACGTGCAGTCCGAGACCCTTTGCACATCCCGGCTCTCTTCCCCAAGACAAAGCACTGATGAAAGCCAACACTTGCCTTCTGTGCAGTCAGCTGCAAGCCAAAGTTGGGTGGGGGCACCAGGCACCGAGCTCCTAACCCTCTTGGGTCATACGGAGACTCAGGTTGCAAAGGAGCCTTAGACGGGCAATGAATCATAGGAAAGTTGGGCTGGAAGGGACCAGACGAGGTCCTGTCTAGTCCAGCCCCCCAAATCCGCCCTGACTAGACCACCCAGCCACGGGCCTGTGCAACTGGCTCTTGAAAACAGCCACAGATGGAGACTCCTCCGCTTCTCTAGGCGCCCGCTGCAACGCTTGACCGCGCTGAGTCCCAACGTTTCCCCTAATCTCCAACCTCCATTTCCCCTGCTGCCGCTGGAGGCTATTCCTCCCAGTCCTGTCCCCGACGGCCCCATCTCCATCCTCTGCCATTGCCTGTCACGGATTTGAAGACTGTGATCAAAGTCTGCTCTTCTCCAGACTCGATGACCCCTCGCTCGCTCCTCCTTTACTCATCCGCCCAGCCTCCCAGGCCCGTAATCATTTTTCTCACTCTCCGCTGGACTCTTTTCACTCTGTCCACACATCCTTTGTGATGCATAAAGCCAGCAACAAACAGGCCCACAAATAAACCAAGTGACTTCTTACCTCTCGACCGGTCCAGACTTCCAGGCACGTCCCCAATTTCTCATCAACCTCCTCGGGGTTCCTCTGCCGCTGGCCTCCAACCCTTGCTCTTCAGAACCGGGGCTGTCTTTGAAAGAAAGGAAACAGAGAGCCATCAAGTTTCCAAAGTGGAGATGAACCTCTTTTATTTTTTAAGCCCAGGGTTTGGAAGGGGGTCGAGGAGCATGGGGGCCTCTCTGTCCCAGCCTTTTTGGCTAAAACTGCGCAGCCGACAGGAGAATGTTCTCCTATTATGACCACGGCCTCATCCCAAAGCATTTTGCTTAATTATTGTGATTCTCGGGGCTGTTAAAGTGGGGAAATTTCAGGTTCAGGGTATCTTAAAGGAGCAACAACCCACCCCCCCAGTGCACCTGCAAGCCAAGCAAAGAGAAAGCCCGACCCCAAGGAACAGCACCGCACTTCTACAAGAGTTTGCATCCTCCGAGACCCACACCGGTGAAGACCCTCAAGTGCCTTAAACTTTCCGTACAGCCAGGGAAGCTCAGCCCCTGCGCGCGCCTGTGCACGATGGATGCTGCTGGCAGGAGCTCTCCTCGCTGTGCGGGTCTGTTGGCACCGAGGCAGGGCTCCCTCGCGGGGGGCCTTTGACTTGACGGTAATAATTACTGCCATCGGGTGCAGCGGCAGGCCTAATACCAGCACTTGACAAACACGCCGCATGTGGGTATTGGAGCCGGCTGCTGTTTTTTTGGAGGGCTATTTTTGAATGCTGCACGCTGCAAGATGCTTCCTGCATTCAAATGCATGGCAACGGGTGTCTCTGGGAAGGGGCGAAGGCATGCACTCGCAGCACGCAAACCTCCCATCCTATGCCCCAACAGTGAGAGCGGCTTTTGAGGCCGCTCTAAAGCCTCCTTAGCAAAGGCCTTGCCATCATCTCCAGCAGACTTTGCAGCAAGCCCCCAGCGAGGATTAAATGAATCGACGCCCCCCCCCCCCCGAAAAG